GTTTTCTTTACTTCAAAATACTCCTTTTTAGTCAAAACTAAATGAACTGAATAACAACAACAAACCAAATGTGATCATGGCTATTTCTGTCAGAGAGGTGTCATAAGGATAGTCAGTCAGCTTTTTCCAGTTTTTGTGATGTATTTTTTTATTTATTTACCTTTTGTTTACTTTCAGACTTTTGTAAAGTGCAGTATAAATAATAATAATCATTGTTTTTAGTTTTTTCTTAGCATTTGTATTACTGGCAGGCATCTCCGGTGGTTGGAGTTTGATCTTTTTTACATTCACTTTCAAACTGCCATGTAGAACAAGCAAGTTGCACATCTTATACATGGCGCATAAAATCTGTATAGATACCTGCAACATGTTCACTTATTGCACTTGCATTTTGTTTTTTTTTATTATTCCATATACATACTAGTAAGCCCTACTCTAAGAAATTAGAAACTGTAGACTCCCAACATGAGCCTTTGTAACAGAGATCATGTAGTAGCGGTCCGCAGTCCAGATCCGGACACACCTGCTGGCTAATCCGGACCCAACATGATTTAAAACCTTTATAAATTACCTCATGTTGTCCGATGGCAGTGTCTAATTTCACTTGCGCCGCTTTTCTCCTGTTTGTACAGTAAAGCCCTCCGGGACCACTCTACACGTGATGCAAATTAGCCAATGAGCTGTGTCAGTCAGGGCTGCTGCCGCTAGCTACTTTTAGACACAGCCGGCAAACCTTGGGCCAGCTGGGCGGTGGATAACGATGATAAGAAAATGTGAAAGAAAGTGTAGAAGCACGGTGAACTGGTGACAGAAAAGTGCAGAGATGACCCTGCACACTTTGAGTGTGTTTGGCTCAACATACTGCTGTGAAGCAGCATTCTCCACCATGAACATAGTCAAAAATAAATATCGATCCAGGCTCACGAATGAGCACCTTGATATGTGCTTGAGAATGGCTTTGTCGCCATTCAGACCCAGGTTTAAAACCTTGAGCCCACTTCTCTCATTAAACAAGAAAATAAGAAAAAAAAATGTCAGTTCAGGTGTTTTTCTAAATGTTTATCTATATACCAAACATAACGATTGTTGTTCTGTGCTTCAAAAAACATGTTAGATTTTAAAATGGAAACATTTTATTTTTATTTAATTTAAAAAGTCAATGGATAACGTGGATGGATAAAAACTCATCTTATTTCAGTGTTAAATTCTGTTTAAGGTAACAGATTATAATTAAAAATGTCTCCGGACCTTTACTGGTTGTTGACTTTCTTTATTCGGACCCCGCTGATTTCTAATTGGTTACCCCTGCTTTATAACATCCTGTCAGTGCTCCTTTGTGGAGAAAGTAGTTAAAAATTCCTAGAATAATTGTGCTAGAGTTCCCACAAATGGACACTCAGCAATAATGAAGTTTTTCTACAGGCCTCCAACTGTGTCATCTGACCCAACTCTGGGGTGTTTAATTATTACAGTAATTAAAACTCTTTGGAAATCACTTCCTGTTTGATATGCCTGAATAGGTTTCTCAGGAATAATTTACTCAAGGTGCTGTTCTCTTCCTTTTTGTTGCTCTTTGTGCCTCCTCTCTGACCCTCTTTTCTATTTTGTACATTTTACTGTTTGTGTTGGTATTGAACTTTGAGAGGTGGGTTTTGTTTTGCAGAAACACTTGGGTTTTACTGTTTTAGGGCTCAGTGCTTTTGGATGACTTATGTTGAACTGTCTGCTTGTCCAAGAGTTGTTTTCTAATATTTCATGATTGATTAACAAGAACAATGTGTTGAATGGATTGAAGGTTTTACTATTTGGAGAAAAAGGTGTTGCCACTAATCAACAGTCAGCTTGGCTGATTATTCTATACTTTGCAAGTTTTCATTTAATCCAATTAATCACTTCTTCATAAATGTGGTTTTCAGCCTATTAAAGCACACATTTGAGATAATTAAAACTGTTTATCAGCCCTATGTAATGAAGGCATTTCTGTTCTTTTCAATCCTCAGCACATCTGGTCTATTTGTGGGTGTGACCACTTTTTTAACCTAGATATTGCAGATGATTGTTAATCATCTGCAATATCTAGGTCATGCATATAAAAAATAAATCAAAGTTCAAGTTTCATAAAAAGACATTTCTTCAATGCAAGTTAATTCTGGTGGGAATGCACTGTGTGGTTGTAGTCTCTGAAGGCGTGACCTAAAGTTGCTTTTTCCTGGCAGCGTAATTCTTACCACTCACTAGTAAAACTTCTGAATTGAAAATTTAATAAAGATATGCTGTCTAATAAAGCCACAAGTCATAGATTTTAATTGTTGGTTTGTAAGATGTAATATTAGAGTTGTGGGGAAAGGACAGACGTTCGTAGTTTGTTTTTCTTTCTGCCATCAATTTCTTCAAGCTGTAAACTATTGGTTGGGTTTTTTGTAAAACAGAATGAAATCAAAGGCTGGGTTCTCTGGGTGCAAGCAAGGGCTCATCGGCTGGTTTTTTCTGACACATTTTTAGAAGTTCAGTGATGAAATTGCTATGGGAACCAACGTTATCTCCCAGGAGTTGTTCCAGAAAGCGTGCAGGCAGACAGCAGTAACGGTGAGTTAAACTGATCAAATCCATGGGAAGGGGAACACTCTTTAGTTGGATTATGCAGGTTGTGTAGAGCCTAATCATTCTTTAAATGCTGGATGGTAGATAACAGTGCTTAAAATGGAGATAAACTCGCTGGAGATGCATGAGGTGGATGATGGATGAACTACTGAATCTAAACATTGGAGTCAAAAAGGGTCGAGCCTCTTTGGACATTGATTCATGCCTTTGCTAAGTTGCTGCTTCACTCAGTCTAGTTGCCCCTACATTTCATGATGTCGTCCTAAAGTATCTACAGAATGGTATCACGACTCTCTCAGTGATAAAGCTCTTTATTAGGAAGGTTAAACATACTGTAGCGTCACCGCTCTTATACATACATAAAAAGCCATTTGGTCTCAACTTGGAGCCAATGGTTGCACTGTAATCGTCTCTTGCTGATCAGTGAAAGTGGACATGTGGTATACTGGATACGTGCAAGGCAGCACTTCATGGAGAGGGGCTAATTCTCACTTTTCTATGTAGGACTGCAATGACTACTCCTTTTCCAGGACAGGGAGGGGCTGCTTTCAGAGACCAGAATTCCTGATCAAGAGAAATTCCGCTTGGGGTATAGTATTGATGAAGGACTAGCATCATACCTCAAAAGCTCCCTTAAATTCTGTTGTCTAGTCAATTAAGAAAATAATCTGCAGGGACTTACATTTCCCATGTCCCCCATGTTGCTTTAGTAAATGTTATTACTTAATTGTAAACAAGGAATATAGATTTTTTTTGCCCTCTCCTCTTGTGTTGAGCTCTTTAATCAAATCAAAAGTTGGCTCTCTATTGCTGTCTTGACAATTGCTATTTATGGCCCAGACCTTAAGACCTCAATCTATAAGGGAAACTCCGATGTTGTCTGACCTGCTTTTCTCAATTAAAGATTCTGTCTGGTTAGAGGCGAAGCAGCGAGCATATCACTCCTTCACTGAACACCCGACTGTCACTTCATATTCTTGGAAGACATTTTGTCAGCTTCCTGTTTGGAATGATAGTAGAACTTTTCAGCACAAAATGCACTTTGTTATCTAATCAGCCACTACCGTTATTTTGCAGGCATTTGGCTCCAGCAAGTGTTAAATTTTATGAAAAAATAGACTGGGAACAATTATTAGGATTTCTTTTATTTTAAGTTGTCTAATTTGGAAAGCTTTATAAATGGGAAAACACATCCACATTTATGCTAAAACCTTAGAACGAGCATTTGAATCTTTATGAAATGTTTTGTTTATAATCTGATACTATTAAGTGCTTTCAGGAGAAAGATACTGGCCTTTCACTTTAATCACTCATGGCACATTGAAAAGTAGTCTCAAATAGTCCAGTCCTCAAGGGTTGTGCAACTTTTAGATTTGCCCTTTGCCCCTGCACAGCTGAATCAATTGGCTAAAGTGCCTCAGGCTAGCATGCAATATAGTTCTACTGACTGATGCTGGAGTAAGGTGTGTTCAAGCATAGACACTGCTAAAAGTTGCAGTACACTTTTCCTCTAGGGCTGGAGTTTGAATCCACCCAGAAACATGTCAGAACCCCATCACATTGCACTGGTTATATTTTTAAAATGCTTTTTTTTTTCATGAAAATATTATTTTTCCCATCTGAGGCGCTTTCTTTGGTTGTGCACATCTTCCTATGACCTATGGGTGGTATAAAATGGACTGAGAGGTTTTCATATATTTACTTTCTGTTTTATTGGGGAACTGTGATCAGTTCAGCTAAAACAAAATGTCTGTCAGGGTTCAAGAACATGTGATGATGTCTAGATCATATTTGCATTTGTTTAATCTTTGTGTGCAAAATAAAGGTGGTAAATCTCTGGGTTCTCAGTGACGACAGAATTTAAACCTGTATTTGCAACGAATGTTGGATCAGAGCCACACTGGTGCAGATTTCTTCAGTCTTATCCATCAGCAGCTCAGAGGTGTGGGTGGACAGACAGAGGTCAGCTTGTTCCAAAAACAGACCATTTATCAACACGCATCAGTTTGATTTGGAGAAAAAAAAAGATTTTGGAAATGGATAATTATATTTATGAATAATCTTGTCTCCATAGAAATACTTGTTTTACTGTAAAGAACAAGTAAGAAATTCTAAGAAGTATTAGCTTTGTTCTCTATTGGTAACAACATAGGACTTCTTAATGAGCTGAATTATTTTAACAGATTTCATCGTATAGATGCTCATTTCCTCTCCCAGTTGTGTGCAATAAAACTGGAGCCACATCCTTAAGAAATATTTGTAGTTGTAACCAAACATTTCACTCTACTATAACATTGCTGTGTTTCTTGGTCTCTGAATGTATGTTGAAATGTTGAAAGTCAAATCACTGTTCTGTTTTTATTCTCCAGTTAATTGATGGTCCATGCCTTGTTTTTTAGGGACAGGAGAAAGTGGCAAGAGCACTTTCATCAAACAGATGAGGATAATCCACGGGACAGGCTACACAGATGAAGATAAAAGGAGCTACACAAAGCTGGTCTATCAGAACATCTTCACCTCCATGCAGGCAATGATCCGTGCTACGGAGACCCTCAAGATTCCCTTGAAGTATGAAGAGAACAAGGTCAGAAATATTTTAAGACTGATCAGTTTTGTGCAACTGCATAAATTGGACTTAGGATCTGTAGTCTTGTTGTAGCTACTTTATTTTTTTTCCCCATATATTTTTATTTTTTACTACAGACTGACACTCCATATATTATCTATTACAATCACCGAGGAATTTCCTAACTGGAGGTTCAGTCTAAACGATTATTAAATGCTGAGATCAGTCAATGGCTGCGTCCGAATGTCCCCCCTAATCACTATATAGGGCACTATAAAGTGGTTACGCCATTTTAGATGAGTGTCTGAAAATCTAGTGGAGGAAAAAGGAGTGGACATTTTATTATTTGCAACTTGGATTAATTTTTTTCAAGTTTCAAAACTGTTTCCCAAAGCATCCTGCTACCATACAACTTTGGCATTCTGCAAGATTGATTTCAGATGCATGAGAATGAATAGTTTATTAAAAAAAAATGTTTTAAAAAGTACTCGTATTGATCTATGAACAGATTGCTTAACAATAAAGTATTCTTTTTTTTTTTAGATTTATTATAGTTTACATTACTTTACCTCTTTGAAGCCAAGAAAATCCTTATTAAAGCAAAACAGCTAAAAGATCACTGCACATCTCCATAACTGGAGATAAACACAAGAAGCTGTCCACTCTCTTTTTATTTACATTTTGTTTTTGACCTTTTTCCAGAATAATGCCCAGCTGGTGCGTGAAGTGGACGTGGAAAAGGTGTCGACATTTGAAGAGCCATACATCAGTGCGATCAAAATGCTTTGGACCGACCCTGGGATTCAGGAGGCTTACGATCGCAGGAGAGAGTACCAACTCTCTGACTCGACCAAATAGTACGTCCATAAGGACATATTTGTTTTTGTTGTTTGACTTTTAGAGCATTTTAAGAAAGATCTAGTAGGAGGGAAAGGATTTATGGCAGATGGAGAACTGCAGCTGCTTGATTTAACCGTTAATTTAGTTCAGTGGATCTCAGTCCTGCTCCTAAAGGATATTGCTCTGGTAGCACACCTGATTCAAATGATTGCAAAGGCTCCGCAGCAGCTACCAAGTGCTGCAGGTGCCTTATTCATTTAAACCAGGTGTGTGGCATCAAGGATACGCCTAAAGCATGCAGGACTATGGTACTTCAGGACCAGGATTGAGAACCACTCTTCTGGTTCATTTATGAATTCTAATATTATTGAAAGTTAATATGCAATATGTCCGTTTTGATAAAAGCAGTTGTTGGTATACTCAGCTGGATCAGCCTGGAATGTCGACACGGATTAGTTTGCCTGCATGTTCATCTCTTTCATACAGTATGTTCCCTCCCTTCTCACAGTTACCTTAGCAGTTTAGAACGAATAGGATCGTCAGGGTATTTGCCCACCCAGCAGGACGTGCTGCGGGCTCGAGTGCCCACCACTGGCATCCATGAGTACCCATTTGACCTGGAGAATATTCTCTTCAGGTACTGGTTCCAAGTGCTGCTGCTGCTGCAACAGATAATGATGTCCAAGCTGGCAAACTGTAAATCAGCCTTTCAACTAATGGGAAAGTCTACGTCTGTCTCCGTGTTCCCTGCGCAGCATGAGGCATGCTCTGGGCTGTAACATTACCCTGATGGTGTGCTCTTAAAGACTGCTTATAAAGATTTACATAAGATCAGCTAAAACAGCTCAACAATGGGCCCTAGAGGCCCTAGAAAGCTTCGTAAAGTTAATGAATTTTCTCTGCTAAGTATTTATTTTTGGTCTTTTGGAGCAGCCATCAAGGATGAACCTGTATTTCTAAGAATATTTGAGGGGAAGCGGAAACCTTTCATACTCTGTGGGTACATCTGCACTTGCTGAAGGTGTTTTATCTGCTGTGATGCTTTACTTTCTATTTCTTTTCTCTTTTTGTGTTTCTCCCTTTCTGTCTCTAGCTATTTAAGTGATCTTGGTCGTATTTCTGAAGCGTCCTATCTACCAACCCAACAGGATGTGCTTAGGGTTCGAGTCCCAACCACTGGGATCATAGAATACCCTTTCGACTTGCAAAGCATCATTTTCAGGTAGAGAATAACTTTAAAACACTTTGAGCAACACTGTTTGCACCTTATTTCTTCTTCAGTCTCTAATAAATTAGGTTGTAACATTTAATTTAGTCCTTTTTGAATTGAACCCCCTATGTCTGATTATACGCCTCATGTAGTTTGTAATCAGTTTTATATTTTAAGGATAATTTGTTTAAAAATGTTGTTAATTGATTAATAATATTCATAAACGATCACTAAAAGAAAAAGGTTTAGATGTTGTGCACACTGGCTCTGTAATGTAATAATTAGTAGGACTACGTACAGTAAATATTTTGCTAATATACGTCAAAACTTGACTATGATGGCTTTATCTTCATCTTGAAAGGAGTTAAAATTGATCTCCTGATACTGAAGGGCTTTATTAATATGGCTGTGACTCAAATCAGTTTAGTATTTATACTTTTATTTTGTTTTTTACACAGCTTAGGTCTGGCCTATGCCTGATTGGCTGTGGGCTTCCTCTAGCCTGTTGAAACTTTAAATTAGTGCTATTAAGCTACTTTCTTCTAACAGCTACCTCATTTTTTTTAAGTTTCTGAGTAACTTGAAAACACTTTTGTTGAAGAAAAGTAAAGATGCAACATTGCCACTGACCAGGATGTTTTTCAGAAGAACCACTGAGATTTAAATTAAGCCATGAGCAGCTGCACTTTTACAGAAATATTGTGGCTCCTTTGGTTTAGTCTGTAGAATTAAAACATTCAGGTTTCAATATTCTGTCCATTATCCACTTTGGTTGCCTGGTGCTGAGCTTAATCTATACCAGGAGAAATAAAAATCAGAAATTTTTATCATGGTATTTTGTGTGGGAAAGAAATTGCTCATTGATTGTACTTATGCGGGAGTCCAGGCAGTTTTTAGTCTAGGCTTCCTACTTTGCCATGACAGTTTTCCCTGCCGATGTTGTTCATTCACCATAGCTTCCTGTTTCCAATCAGCCACTAGGAGCGTTTCCCCAATGAGGAGCGTTTTCTTCAATCACATACATGGTATGTTTGGAAACAGAAGCATGGCAGCCAACAAAGGGAAGGTTGCAACACTTCTGCTGGCTGTCACTGCATATACTGCCAAACAGCCTAAAGCAGTCAAAAAAGAGGAAGAGAAGAGTTAAGATGCAAAAATATTAATAATTGAACTGTATTGGTCTCACATTGGAGTAATTCATTCACTGCATTTAACTCGTCCCCTTGGGGAGCAGTGGAATGCCATTGTGCGGTACCTGGGGAGCAGTACGGGGTTAAGGGTCTTGCTTCGAGACCCAGAGTGGAGGCTATGGGGATCGAACAGGGTACTTGCAACCTTTTTAGAGCACAGGCACACTGCTCTAACCACTAGGCCAACAGTCCCCACAAATTGACCAAATAATCAACAAAGCTAGTATAAATCACAGACCAGACCGTTCCAAGGTGGAGAGACTGGTGGTCCACGTTGGACTGAATCTGGACTCCAAACTGGCTGTAGTCCTTCCAGTCAGGTGTCTATTTATTACTTTAATGTGTGCTTTATCACCTGCACATGGAGAGGGAGCAAAGTTTCTCAATGGGACCAGGTTAGGGGCCGGGCTTACAGTCCAAACTACACAATTTGCCTCTCTAATGGTTCAAAACTGTGCAGAATCAGGTACAGAGGCTTTAAATAAGGATGTTCACACAACCTCCATCCTATGTTCTTTTTGACCATCGTACTCCCTTTTTATTTTTATGGTTTTGGAAATTATTCAAGGCAGTTGCAGTGCATCAGCGATCGCAAAGCTTCACAGAAAAGCTTTCAGTTGATCACATGGATATAGTTGCATTTTCTCTTTTTTCTTATAATGATGACACCTTCTAAAAATTTGTGCTGAGATTCTTATATTTAAGTCTTATAACAAATAGCTGCTCTGCAGGAAGCACAGCAGCTGTGCTGATCTCTAAAACATTCACAAACCCTCCAGTTTTCTTCTGGCAAAAAAGAGTCACCAAACTTCCTCTGGGAGTCGGACTAATTGCCAGAAATGAAGGTCAGGGGTTATTGGCATTTTACAGAGGGTCATTTTTTTTTTTTTTTTTTACTTTGGGTTCATTTTTTGGTTAATTTTCAATGGGAAATTGCTTTTTTTTATTCAACAGATTTATGGTTTAGTGATAGAAAAGTGAGTTTCCCCTAAAACCTTTTGGTGTAGCAGAAGGAGATGGAAAATCTGTAAAAAGGCAAACATTTCTTCAGCATGCTGTATGTGCATGCAGTGTCTCTTAGCTGAATGACTCAACGTTCAAATACAGCAGAGGCATTTGTGTTGGTTTTGTTTGGGAAGAGTTTCCCGTCCTCCTTTCTTTAGAAAAAAGAAAAATTGGTTACAGATGGACGCTGGGAAATAGAGGGATTAAAGAGAACTCTGAATCAATTGGAAGCAATCATGTCAACCCCCTCCCACAAGGCCAGAAATAACTTGCTATATGGCTGTGTTAAATAGCTTTCCAGTAACCTCGCTGCAGCCGAACTGATAGGCTCTTCAGTGCTTGACCATCCGCCTGTTAGTGAATCACTAAATACTCTCAATAACAAGTTTTTGCTGTGGGCTTAAAAGGATTAGAGCCAGTTGAGTTTTAGTGGGTGAAAAGTCTTCCATCGAGATTTGAGTGAATAATAATGTATTGTCGCATTCTTGCTGATAATTACACTACAGGTTTGATGCATGTTGTTTTCACCTCAACAGACTCCACATGTGTCCAAACCACCTCTGCTTTGCGTTGACTGAGATGGCTATTATTGGTTGACAAGCAACTCCATCAGGAATGCTTTCTTCATTCTGAAATTGGTTTAGATGCGAGCATCTATGGAAATATATAGACTGTTGAGGCAGGAAAGGCGGTCATATATGAGGGGCATTATGGTGAACATTTTTAGTATTTATTGGCATAGTGATATATTTCAATTCATAAAAATGCAGATGCATCGTCTAAGCAATAAATTAGAATTAATGATGATTAAAAAAATCTCATAAAATGGGTAATCTGTGAATTTGTTACTCCTTTTTCTATTTTTCCAATGGGGCACTGGCAAATTTGAAGTTACTTGTGGTTACTATTCCAGCTTTTGCTGCCATCAGTTTTTCTAAAGGGGAAATTTCTTGCATGGGCCTGGTTCTCTATTAGCATTTTACATGTCCTTTTCTTTGCTTCAACCAAGGGAGGCTTTGCTCCATGTATTGAAATTCAAACCTCAGATTTTGGCACTTTTTCTGTTTGTCTTGACTATAAAAACTTGTTTTTTGCTTTGGAATCTGTAGATTTCATGTGAGAATGTTTTTCAATCAGTCATCGATGGTAACTCAAGGCTTTGTCCCAAATACATGATTGCTAGTATAAAGTCAGCTTAATTCTCTTTCTTAAATTTCTATGTAAATAAATCAACCCCTCCTTCCTGATGTGACACTAATCCTTCCCTGAATCCTTTCATTGCTTTTCTTATAAAGCACTTAATGTGTGCTAACAGTAATCTGCATGATTATATCAAATTGTTAAAGGGGAAATGTGCTTCCTTCATTTCAAATGTGAGCATAGCTATAGAAGAGATTCTAAATGTAAACCAAATCTACTTTTTAATTGTCAAAGAATTTACTGTAATAATGAATTCTTGCTGCCAAGCATTGCTTTGATTTTGATTGTTTCTGCCCTGTTCCTGTCAGGATGGTGGACGTTGGAGGTCAGAGGTCAGAGAGGAGGAAATGGATCCACTGCTTTGAGAACGTCACCTCTATCATGTTTCTGGTGGCGCTCAGCGAGTATGACCAGGTTCTGGTCGAGTCAGACAATGAGGTGAAACATTTGTTAGGATTGGATTGTTTTTTGACAGAGTCTCTAGTTTAATCAGACATTTAAAAATGCTTATAAATATCTAAGGAAAAGCTTTTGATCTGCAAAGAAACCTGCATTTATGATTGTGCACAGGTAGATATTAATTTCAATTTTTAATAGACAACTTATTAAGGAATAAACCATTTCCAATATTGTTAGCTTTTTCTTGTACCCCTACTTAGGTTTGATATAACTGGTGTCTTAATAATATTCATACAAGCGATGTGTCCAAAAAGATCCAGATATGTAATGCATATAAGCTAGAGCGGATGGCTGGTAAAATGTAGATGAATTTTTAACAGAGGTACAGAACGATAAAAAAAAAAAAAAAAATATAAACATTTTTGCCATAAACTGCTTTCACAGCAGCTGAAACGAGTCCAATTAACTTTGCACCAAATCAATTCAGTGTAGTTATACGTTTAGCTCGGCCCAACCAACAAATTGACCATCATAATGGAGGCCTCTTCATGTACTGACATCAGAGTAAGTAACTGAATGTATTTACAGAGGTAGCAAGAATGGGAAGCACAATAGTTATAATATTCCATATGACCTCCTCATAATGACGTGGGACTAACCTGGTTCCTGCAAAAAGTTAATCTTTAAAACAAGCCGATTTCATTTGGTGCCATAAAGCTGCTGGAAAAATATAGTTTTTAATAAATATCTGGATTAGCTTTAGAAGATGTAGGTAATCAGTATCACAACCATCTTATCTTTACATTAGAAACTGCTGTGATTGCGTTTATTTTTTTTTTTTTCTGAACTCATCTGTTTCTCTCTTCACATCTGTGCTCCCTGTTAGAACCGTATGGAGGAGAGCAAAGCCCTGTTCAGGACCATCATCACATATCCCTGGTTCCAAAACTCGTCTGTAATTCTGTTCCTCAACAAGAAGGACCTGTTGGAGGAGAAGATCATGTACTCTCACCTGGTTGATTATTTTCCAGAGTTTGACGGTAATTGAATCATTTCACATAAACGTTTATTATCATTGCACAAATGTTGTATGGTTTTAAACCTTTAAACTGTTTTTGTATTTTCTTATTTTTGAGTGACACCATGTGGTTAAGTAAATTACACTGTAGGTTAATGTTAATGATGAACATGGCCAAACATTGTCCTACATTGGATTTTTTCATTTTAGTTAAATATTAGTATTTTTTGTTTTTACCTGTAAATTCTATTTTTATTCTGCTTAAGTCTCTCTATGGTCCATCATTTTTGCCTGTCCTCCTTTAAAAGTTCTGGTTTGTAAAGTGTTTGCAGAACAGTATAACTATGCGATGGTTCTTGTTTTTGCCAGGTCCACAGCGGGATGCTCAGGCAGGTCGGGAGTTCATCCTGAAGATGTTTGTAGACTTGAATCCTGACAGTGACAAGATAATCTACTCCCATTTCACATGTGCCACCGACACGGAGAACATCCGTTTCGTCTTCGCAGCCGTCAAAGACACCATCCTGCAGCTCAATCTCAAAGAATACAACTTGGTGTGAGAGCGAGGGTCCTCGGCCGAGACACCAGCCTCTGAAGAAACACTTGGTGCAGGAGTTCCCCCTCCAGAGACGCACATCTGCATGAAAACACACTGCTGCACAAAGAGACGAGCATTGCTTTAATCTTTACCAGACCAACGCAATCCTCTGTTGCTCCTTCTCTCCATGCAGTTTTTTTGGTTTGTTGACATTTGAAATAATTTTCTTTTTCCAATTTTGTAGTTTTTACTAACTGCTGGCAACATCACCAATGAAATACATTAAAATTGAACATTTATTTGTCCTCTCTCTGGCACACCTCTCTGCCCTCACTTTTTTTTCTATATTATTTTATGTCAAAGGTAGGTGGAGGGCCTTCTCTGGGTAGAACTAGCCTTTGTGGACAAAGGGCTCTCTCATGCATGCTATACACTACAGCATGAGTTCATGACACAAGGCTGCAGATCACTGGACTCTGCTTATCTGCAAGGGATAACGAATTCTAAAATCCTTCAAGGTGACGCTGAGGTGCAGTCAGGTACTTAGTTCTGTGGAACTTAAAACTTAAATAGTTTGTATTTTTCTCTTCAATCACCCTGATCTCCACCAGAGCAGATGAGCTCCATTGAATGTAAATAAGGATTTGATTCTGCTCACGCAGTTTTACAGTGATAACTAAACATTGTATCTTCACTTTATATATATATATATATATTTAGAAATGTTAACTTCTTGAGCCTATCACTTCTGCTATTAGTTGTCTGTGTGTGGGAGATGACTACTCATAGGAGTGCAAAGGAAAAAGTCGCAGCTTATTCCTCTTAAATCATTTCTTGGTCCTTCTACTTATCTGGAGGTGTTTTTTTTAATGTTTTTTTTACATTGCAAAATGTAAAAAAAAAAAAAAAAAAGTCACATTAAACAATTGGTGATTCAGACAGGTATTTTGTCAGTGAAGTGGAGCTTTTTGGCTGCTACTCTGAGCTTCTGTTGGTCCATTAATGAGGCTTTTTCTTTTACCATCAGCAAAAATTAAATCCACAGTGATCAGCAGAGTCTCTTTTATTGATCAGAGTTCTGTTGATTCTGTATTTTAAACATTATTTCAGTTCAGTTTTTTTCCTTATTTTTTTTATACTGCTGTAAATTATCCAAACTATTTTAAGGACAAGTGTTCTATCTTTTTAATAATACGCCATGTTTAATTTTTGCGGATCGGTTTTTAATGTAATTGCTGATTGGAAGAATTAAAACTTTTTTTGTTTTTTTTTCATGTCAGGTTTGTGCTTTATGCAAATCAAAACTTTCACAAAAAAAATTGTGGTTAAATAGTTGCTGTTTAAAGATTCTTGCAGTTTTTTGGGGAAAATCTATAAGTATATGCTTTGGTTATTGGTACAAATCCCATATCGTGTGTCTTACCAGGTAGCTTTCTAAATACTTCAAGGTGAATGATTGCTATTTTTGTCCTCATGATGTAATTCAGGTGGGTTTTCATAACTTTTTCATCAAAAAGGGCTACTCCTAGCAGATTTGGCTGAGTTGAAATGACTGTAGAGGACAAAGCTAAAGGTGACCAGGTGTGGTGGAGGTTTTAGGCAGCTGAATCAAGTTTGATGCTCCTGTTTCTGATGTTGCCTGTAGGTTCAGAGAGGAGGGATGGTGATAAACCTGTAAGAACTCTGTCAACAGTTGAGATGTGAGTTTTATTTTGACTTTATGGGAGGTTTCCTCAAGGTCCATTTGGTGCCCTTGGTGTTGGATTGTACTATCCAGTAATCTTGATGGACTCTGCAATGGTCTACTGGACCTTATTATTTTCCACCACGTTTATATTTGCCTCTACATCTGCAGTGTTTCCATGTTTGATTTTGGATGGGTCCTTGTTTGAAGGGCTAAAACTAATGGATCATCATATAAATGGTAGAAATTCAAGAAAATTTTTTAAATTGTAGCCCTTATTACAAACAGTCAGATTTGACTTGCGCGCTTGTTACAATGATTTTTTTTCATAATTTCTGTTGCAAAATACTCAACATAAATGTTTCAGCTAACTTCCCAGCTTACTAACGTTTTGAAGAGAGTCTTTTTTTATTTAAGAGTCTTAACATCCTTAGGAAAGAAAATGAAAATGTTCACATTCAAATTTAATTGTTATATTAACTTACAGGCAAAGGAAATTAGAATACCTAATAAAGGGCTTTTGGTGTCCAAATTAAGGTTAATATAGCACATTTACTAAATAACTTGAAGATTAGTAACTATTGCTTTCTATTTAACATCAAAACAAGATAACTTAAACAGACTTTGATTAATTGGGCCAAGTATTGTCTGGTAATTCTAGACAGGTGTGTGGAACTTTAAAATGAAAACCCTCTGTGCAGTTTTTCTTTCTTTTTTCTGTTTTTTAGATTTCACAGCTTAAAGTTGGTTGTGTGGCTCCAGATCTTTTTATATACATAAGCTAACTCTGTGGATGATGCAAATGTGGGCGATTTCTCACATAAAAAAATTACCTGGCAGGCTTTTAAATTAAGAATAAAAATTAAATAAAATATGTGCTGCATTATGTTGAATAACAAAATGATTTTGGGTGTTTTCAAACTCGCTTGCTTTCAAGAAGCATCCTGCTCTCCTAAAGTGCAGCTAGCCACCTTAAAGCTGTGTGGGGCCTATCCTCATTTTGATCAGTTTTTCATGCAAATCTGACGAGATGAAAGCGTAGGCTTTCAAGCTTGACCACGTGACTATACCACCGTGATAAGAGCTATTAGATGTGCTGGATTGCTTATTTTAAACCCGTTTGCACAAATGGCTGCTTCATTTGCTTTAACACTTTTGAAACACTTTTTAGAAATGGTTCTGTTGACAATCCAATCCAGAAAAGTTGCCAAACAATCAGAAAAGATATCACTACTGCTTTAGTACCTTAACCAACACTGCTTCATGTTTGTATATTTCCTAAAAGATTAGGCAACTTTCTTGTTTTTTTTCCCAGCAGAAGCCTCAGTATTATTGTAATTATTAAAGTGCTTACCAAGTAAAGGTACTGAACAGGACCTGTTTTGGTCAGGGGATAAAGAAGTGGATGATTCTGCTGTTGTTTACATTCACTATTTTTCCCTCCTTTGATTGGTGGGCTGCTCACTTTGAGACCACAACACTGCAATGGGCTTACGTCTGTTATGTAGATGTCCATTTAAGCATTGTTGGTACTATTGGGATGTGTGTGTGTGTGTGTGTGTGTGTGTGTGTGTGTGTGTGTGTGTGTGTGTGTGTGTGTGTGTGTGTACACAACTGCTTAAGCTTGAGCTCCATCCTGGTCAGAGGAATGGATGCACAGTGATTATTTTTAATAAAAGCTATCTTTGCTTCTTGTTCAGTTTTTTTTTTTTTTGAAAGGTTTACACACCTTTACACGTGGACCACTTTAAATTACTTTTTTTTTCTTTGTTGTTAAACCAACAGTTAAGTTTGTGTAGTGGTGTACAAATTGAAAGTAATGCTTTTTTTTTTTCTTAAGTATACCAAATGTAAATTCTGTACAATGAGTGTGCCAATCCCCTTTCTTTGTAAAGCCAGACTCTTAACAAGTGCCGATGTTGTGAAAAATCAGAGGGCCTGTATAGTTCCACGGCCTACTTTTTAAAGCAGACACTAAGTATATGATTAATTAACAAGAATAAAAAATACACTATTATATATTTAAGATGAATAATGAACTGCTGTTTTTAAATTGTCAACTGATTTGCATGTTTTGTTTTTATTTTTTGTCAGGTTTGGGTTGGGAGGATTTGGGTGGGTGAAAAAAGAAAAAAAAAAACTGTTCCCTTGAGCAATGGGTGGAAATGGATATTAATTTACAGTATTTTAGCCATATTTCTCTTTTTGTATGTTTCATTTCAACCATTGTTGCCTGAACCTCATTCAAACATGAAAAACAATGATTTTTACATAGCCTTCTCCTTTAAATGTGTTCAATTGGAATAAACTGTGTTCCTATACTCTCTGCTTGCATCCTCGTACATTTACTAATGTGTAATATTTTTCACTGTTTGTGTAAAACTTGTTCAGGGCTGACCAGAAGCAATGCTTACTACAAATATTCAAAATGGCCACCTGGGAACACCTGAACCCGAACAACTGCTTTATCTTTAAGAAATTAAATGAAGAAAATTGTTTTTCTGAATTAACCTTAATTCAGACTGAGCCTTGAAATTGAGTAAAATGTCCTCCATAACTACTGTCATGTTAAACTGCTAAAACTTTTTCCCCCCTTGCAACATGATACAGGGTTTCTGCGGATCATTAAAAATCATTAAAAGTCCTTAAATTATTATTTTTTAAATTAAGGCTTTAATTGGCATTACAATTCATTAAATGTGGTTATAGTGGCTTTGTTATTATTTTTTTATATAAATAAAGCTCTATAAATGCTTTATTTAAAAAAAAAAATTATAAAACTATTTCTTCAGATATATCAGATATAACTGGTTCCACGTGTTTATGTACGCTACCGTTCAAAAGTTTGGGGTCACATTGAAATGTCCTTATTTTTGAAGGAAAAGCACTGTACTTTTCAATGAAGATAACTTTAAACTAGTCTTAACTTTAAAGAAATACACTCTATACATTGCTAATGTGGTAAATGACTATTCTAGCTGCAAATGTCTGGTTTTTGGTGCAATATCTACATAGGTGTATAGAGGCCCATTTCCAGCAACTATCACTCCAGTGTTCTAATGGTACAATGTTTTTGCTCATTGGCTCAGAAGGCTAATTGATGATTAGAAAACCCTTGTGCAATCATGTTCACACATCTGAAAACAGTTTAGCTCATTAAAGAAGCTACAAAAATGACCTTCCTTTGAGCAGATTGAGTTTCTGAAACATCACATTTGTGGGGTAAATTAAACGCTCAAAATGGCCAGAAAAAGAGAACTTTCACCTAAAACTCGACAGTCTATGCTTGTTCTTAGAAATGAAGGCTATTCCATGAGAGAAATTGCTAAGAAATTGAAGATTTCCTACAACGGTGTGTACTACTCTCTTCAGAGGACAGCACAAACAGGCTCTAACAGAGTAGAAATAGAAGTGGGAGGCTGCGTTGCACAACTGAGCAAGAAGATAAGTACATTAGAGTCTTTAGTTTGAGAAACAGACGCCTCACAGGTCCCCAATAGAGACTGACACGGGAGTGGATTTTCACTCCTGTCCCGTCCCACTCCCAAAGAAAAAAATTGTGTCCCATCCCGGTCCAGAGTAGAAATCTAAATCCTGTCCCGTCCCACTCCTGGTGAAATTACTCCCACTCCCATCCCGCTCCCATTCAGAATGACTCCCGCTCCTGCACCCCTCCCATTCTTGTTGTTTTTGAGTGTGGGTGAAAAACTCAGAGCGGAAGCACTGTTGGTTTTGGGTTGTGTCGTTTTTTTGACTCGCATTATAGTGTAGGCTTCAAGGAAAACTACAAAATGGCGGCGCCAGTACTGGATTTTTTTTCTTTCTATTTTATTTTATTTTTTGGCATAGATCCTAGTTTTTTTAGTTACTATTGGTCTGCTCCCGTTAATGTTTAATCCTGTACCATCCCAATCACGTGACTGTTACTAATACTGACTCCCATCCCACGGGAATCCCGTGACCCGTGGGATTCCCGAAAAAATGTCAGTCTCTAGTCCCCAACTGGCATCTTCATTAAATAGTTAACACAAAAAACCAGTGTCAACATCTACAGTGAAGAGAAGCGGCTGTGGGATTCTGGGCTTCAGGGCAGAGTGGCAAAGAAAAAGCCACATCTCAGACTGGCCAATAAAAGAAAAAATTAGGATGGGCAAAAGAACACAGAGATTGGACAGAGGAAGACTGGAAAAAAGTGTTGTGGATGGATTAATCAAAGTTTGAGGTGTTTGGATCACAAAGAGGAATGTTTGTAAGACGCAGAACAAATGAAAAGATACTGGAAGAATGCCTGACGCCATCTGTTAAGCATGGTGGAGGTAATGTGATGGTAGGGGGTTGCTTTGGTGCTGGTAAGGTGGGAGATTTATACAGGGTAAAAGGGATTCTGAATAAGGAAGGCTATCACTCCATTTTGCAATGCCATGCCATACCCAGTGGACAGCGCTTGATTGGAGCCAATTTCATCCTACAACAGGACAATGACCCTAAACACAACTCAAAATTGTGCAAGAACTATTTAGAGCAGAAGCAGGTAGCTGGTATTGTATTGGTAATGGATTGGCCAGCGCAGTCACCAGATCTGAACCCCATTGAGCTGTTGTGGGAGCAGCTTGACCGTATGGTACGCAAGAAGTGCCCATCCAACCAATCCAACTTGTGGGAGCTGCTTCTGGAAGCGTGGGGTGCAATTTCTCCAGATTACCTCAACAAATTAACAGCTAGAATGCCAAAGGTTTGCAATGCTGTAATTGCTGCAAATTGAGGATTCTTTGACGTAAACAAAGTTTGATGTTAAATCTTATTTCAAATACAAATCATTATTCCTAACCTTGTCAATGTCTTGACTCTTATTTTCTATTCATTTCATAACGTATGGTGGTGAATAACTGTGACTTTTCAGGAAAACACAAAATTGGTTGGGTGACCCCAAACTTTTGAACGATAGTGTATATATATACACGAGAGTCATGGGTACTTGTTGATGGCATTAAAATAATTTTTCTAATAGCTTTAAAAGAGCATTAGAAAGCATTAAATTAGAGTTACTCATTACTGTATGAACCCTGTGATAGGGAAAAGGCCAAATACATTGTCCACAAAAATATGCGTACCCTTTTAAATTACCATTTTGATAGAACTACAAACTTCAGTATTTTTCATTTACATTTGATGATCTAGGAAAACAGCAGTACTCTATGATGGTGATGTTGAATCAAATGGATGGTGCTTTTTTTTTTTTCTTTTTTCCCCCCAGCCATCCTGAGTTGAATTTTGTGGAACTACATTTTGCTGTAGTTACAGCTGTAAGCCTCTTCAGAGATGTCTCACCTTCACACAGCTGGAGACTGACAGTTTTACAGTTTCGGCTAAAGCTGCAGCCCGGATGAAGAGTGTCTATCGGTTTTAAGTCTTTAAACATATTCTTAGTTTGACTCAGTGCTGGATTTTGACCGGACAATTCTGATATGTGATAATGCTGCGATGTCTGCTCGTATGTTCCAAGGTCAATCCTTCCCCCAATCTGAGGTGTTTTGCAGCCTCTCACTGGTTTTATCCATCTACCTGTGAATTGAAAGTTAACGTGGGCATTTTGGCAGATGGTTTGAATAGAGCTCATAGAGATGTTTAAGGTTCAGGGACGGAGCTAGATGGGTGGCCATGGCCACCCTCAGCCAATCATTGGCCACCCCTACCATTTTTTCCCTCTAATACAGACGGTGGCAGCAGTAATAGTCTGAAGGGGAATGTCCAAACTTATTAAACATTTAAATGTTTCATATATATATATATATATATATTTTTTTTTTAACAACTACTTGACAACAGAAACACTGTAGTTAATTATGCACATCAATATGCTAACATTAAAGATGATAGATACAGAGTTTGTGCTCTTTTCAGATCATCTAAATTTTGAATTATTTGGGGTAAGGATAAAATGATTTGCCTCTGCAAGTCATCTAGGAGTCTTCAGTGAAATCATAGATAAATAACTACTTTAATAGTAAATTAAAATTTTATTAAATGTGGATATTAGTAGATTTAAATATATTTTTTTTTGCAGAATGATTATTGAGAAAAGTAGGTAATGAAAATGTAAAATATGTTTGCCCCAGAACTCAAATCTGAAAGAATTTTGTCCACTATACCTTTTATTTACACAACATAGATGTTTAAATATATGTGTCTATTTGTTAGCAAAGGCTGCAGGAAAGTATAGTTTGTCTTTTTTTAGGAAATATGGATGTTGTGCTTGTTCCTGTTGAAACAGTGTAGATTGAGCCTAAGGTTCTGGTGCATTTCGGCCACCCCTCAATGTACATTGGTTATTGCCTGGCCACCCCTATTAGGATTTTCTGTTAAGGTTTGGGAAATATAACACTTAACCCAGCTTTTAACTTCTCCACAACTCTTATCTTTGACTTTCAGGGCACTAAGAACAACAATAGATTGACTCTGGGAGGAGGTATCTCAATCTGCTAAGACGGAGTGCTAGAGAAGATCCTTCCTACCTTCAGCCATAATGTATTATGTACTTTTTCTCCCAATTTCTAATCCTGTGCTACTTGGTGTTGGTCTAGCACATGAAAAACTAATGAAATTCAGCAAAATCGAAGAAAATGTATTTCTGTTCCAGCTGTTAAAAGGCATGCATTGAATTTTTTCATTGCAATGAAACACAAATTTGAATATATAAAGGCATATGAATAATAGATCTTTGAGCTATATTTTAGCAAAACGTTTTCACAACAGTTTTAAGGAAGAATCAGGTGAGGAAAGTAATAATCAAAGAGGGCAATTCAAAATCCTATTAGTTTTACAGCTAAAACAAGTGAATCAGAGGGAAAGAGTATTATTAAAGAAAAATTGATGGGAAAATGGCAAAAAAGGTGGGATGAAGAAAAAACAGGAAGATGATTTTATAAAATTCGGAAGATAGTAGGAAAAAGAAGAAATGGAAGACGAAATAGGAGGAGAGAGTGATAAGGTTAAGATTTGGGCATACAGGACTTAATTATATACTTTTCAAAACTCAAAAGCATGCTATTGGCAAATGTAATTACTGTGAAAAATATGAAACAATAGAACATGTTATACTGGAATGTCATAAATATAAAAGCGAGTGAAGATATATGAGAAGAGAGTTTGAATGTATTAAGGAAAAGATTAATTTATTACATATTTTGAGGAAGAATTTGGGGAGTAAACATACAAATAATTATTTGATTTTTAAAGAAAACAAAATTATTTCATAGAATTTGATTATAGAGAGGACGAATGTGTGTATGATATAGACGAGTAGAATACAAAGTTATGTATAAGTGTATGTAGTTTTTTTTTCTTTAGAAAATATTTTTATTAAGTAGATAGTCCATCATGAACCACACTCCATACCAGTAAGTGGCATTAATACTACTAAATGTTTTTGCCAACCGCAAATAAATCCAATGACAAGAAGAAGAAACGTAATGATAGCTAGAAATAAGATTTTTAAAGGCAAAATATGAAGAAAATGTGTCCTTAAATTGTATTCAAGTCATGTATTTTTTTTTAAAGTTCTTTGCTCTTCCATTTCCCAACTCATCCACTAGAGGCGCTGTTTGCCCACACATCAGGCCGCCCAAGGAGCAGATAGATCCCCGCTGTGTAGATCTGCTCTGTGCTCATTTCTCTGCGAGGCTGCTCTGTTCTCACTAGCATTTCTGCTCTGTCATTAAAGCAAGCTGCTCCACGAACCACACTACCTTATTTTAATTTCTTTTTTTGGCTGGGCTTCACACCCGCTGTCCAAAAATCCACTCCGGTTATTATCGCCCGCTGCTGCGTTCAAGGGATAAAGACTCATTTTCAACCAGCTGGACATCACTGCTCTGATTGGAGCGAAACAAGAGATTTGTTAGTTTAACGAACAGCTTTTGGCCTGCATCGGTGCTCAACTAAAACTAGTATATAAATTTTTAAATAGTTTAGCTTACATTTTAGAGGTTTAGCTTAGCGTAAACGGGGAAACAAGAAAATTTAGCATAACCTTATTACAGGCGCTGAATTGGCCACGGAAATCTCGCAGCGGCGACGAATCATTTTAACTGACAGCTTTTTGAAGAATTAACCGGCTTAAACCAGTTTGCTGCTCATAGACGCAGTGAAATCCCAGGTTGTGGCAGCAGGTAACAACTGGAGCTGACAACAGCAGGCGGTTTCTCCCTAAACGCTGCAAAGTGCATCACTCAGCGTTCAGCTCGTTTGTTAGAGCAGGGTTCCGCTAGCTGCCGTTAGCCTGTCCTCCTGCTAACCCTGGACAGCTCCACCAAGCTAGCTTTGGACAAAGGAGCAACGCAGCGGGGGGATCTATAAACACCGAGCTACACAAGTCGTTTTCTGGAGCGACAAACAAGGACCTGACATGATGTTTCCACAATCAAGACACTCAGTAAGTTTTTTTTTTTCCCTTTGCATTTGAAACGTGCTCAACAATTAGGTAGTAAATGCAAACGATGCGTGAAACTTCCTGTAATTATTTATTTATTTGCTCACTGCCAAGTTTCTTGTAAGTTCTCCAGGATGAAATAAACAGAATAGCAAATATGGAGGCTTGGCGTGTTTTCTTTTGTCAAAATGCTGTCCGGATTTCCGAGTAGATGCTGGTATTGTTTGAGTAAAAACTCATGTTTGTTTTTCTTTTTATATTTATTGTTCCAGTATGATAAATTACATATCGGACGCATAATATTAGAAATCAAGTACCCATTACGCATGCATAACACTGTATAATTTAATATTGTGTATGACTGGATGCGCATGGTGCGGTTCCCCTTAAATCTCAGGTTTCCTTGGTAACAGTAACTCAGTTGAGGGCAGGCTGGGAGCCCATTGGTCAAACACTCATGTTTCAACGCTAATATAACTGTTTCACATAGGAGAGCTTATGGAGGACCAACCGTGCCATAATTAAAATTACATAAATAAGTGACTCATAATTAGAAATTGTTGGTGAAATAATGGATTGAAATTTAATTGAGTGAGCCATTAAATGCCACAGATTGATTAAAAACTACAGATATATTTAAACGAAATATATAGTTTTAACTAATTGATTTCTGCACTTTTATTCATTTTTTTATTTGAACAATGGATATTTTTACTCTTAGCTATTTTTGCTGGGATGCTGTATTTTTTCTTTACACTTTCTTTACACATTTATTTCAAGTGTATTTATTTGTTATATTCTCCATAACCTTTTTTTTTAATTGGTCTTATTTTTTGACCACCCAAATATATTTAAAGCAGGTTTTCCATCCTTTATGTTATTTTCTAATTATTTTAGTTTGCTTTTTAGTTTTAATAACTCATATATTTCCCCTCTTATTTATTCCTGTAGTATTTCCTCAGCAAACAGAGTTTATCTTTAGTCATGTATTTCTGCCTCTCCATTTTCTCCACAGAAATATTTAATGATAGATCTAACAAAAAAATAGGAGTGGATAACAAATTGAATGCACAAATGTATTGGTGTCCATGTGAACGTATTGGCTGATACAGAAAGAATATGTCTATCCAAAATGAAATTACCTTGGTGGCCAAAAGATAAGCGCAAGATCATCACTTAGGCCCCGTCCACACGAAGATGAACCCTGGCCTAAACGCACAAATTTTTCACCAAACCAGCCTCTTATCCACACGAAGCCGGCGTTTCGGGGGTCTGTAAACGATCTTTTTTTTTATTCAGCCTTCAGAGTGGGAAGATTTCGAAACGCCGTTTTCGCGTTTCCATCTTTACGCTCTAACCGCATATTTTTTTTTTTACACGCATGCGTCATAGCGTCGCCTCTAAACACGCATGCGCGACCAGTATCACAACAACAATGGCGCCGTACTGTGTTGAATGGTTGTTGCTAATGCTACTCACCCTGCTGTCGGGCTTACAACAGAATCTTCTTCTTCTGGAATATCTCCAGGAAGAACAGAGCAATATCGACGACATAGTTCAGCACCTGAATTTGACTTAACCACGAAAATGGACCCGCAGGGCAACCATGTATAAATATTAGTGCGCATGCCCAACATTTCGTCGCTTATTTTTGCTTTGGCACCACAGCGCCACTTACAGGCCTGGCATACATTTTGCAGCGTTTTCATGCATTAGTGTGGACGCTCACATTTATTTTACGTCTCCGTCTTTACGGCAAACGTTTTGGAAAATATCAGCGTTTCGTGTTCGTTTTGACTTCGTGTGGACGGGGCCTTAGAAGCCATGCAAATCAGGAAATAACTTAAAAACAATATAGATGAAAGAACCTTGAACATTACATTATTGATGACAATGCACAGAGGTTGTCAATGGCAGCAGAAGATTCTTCTGCATTTTCCAATGTTGTAACCAAAACATTTTCCTTTTTTGCATGGCTTTTTTTACAGTCAGAACAGGTTATTTGCAGGTTTGAAAATATAGAAATTGCCCAGGGCGACAATGTGAATTGAAGCAAATGTCCATGGCATGTGTTCCCGACTTCTTCCAGACCTTTTCTATCCACCCGGCAGGGAAACTAGTTTGCAAATATATTTTTTTGTCTTCTGCCGCAGTTCTCCATACTTATGAGTTTGTGCTTTACTGTTTGCTGATGACCCGTATGTTGCCTTAGACTCACTTCCCGTAATTTTGCCTGTCAATAAATATAGGCTGTTAATGTTACCACAAAGAGGAACCCATTTGAATTATGTAAAGAACAGATAGTTGCTTTGTATGTTGTGCTTTCTACTTGAGATACTGCCTCCTGTGAGCTCGAGTCACAGGAGGCAGTATCCCACCCCCTGAGTTTCCAGCTGTGAGAGCTCATCGCTCACTGGAAATTACCCTGCTGTGTAGCACATTGGGCATAACAAGTGTAGACTTTGTTTGGACCGGTTCTTCACACAGTGTCCTTAAAGTACCTGGCCTTAAGGTCCTAAAATCACTTCATAACACAGCAATGGGTTAATATATGCATGTTAAGTTTGCCATTACTGCATTATGTTTCCTTTCTATTTTAATCATTTATTTCAATGGTAACTGTTTTAAAATAACTGCTTTTTGCTTTAGTATTGTTGCCAATCAGCAAAAAGGTTCACATTTTACCCTAGAATAGTCTATTAATTTTATATCTAACTTAATGACTGCATGGTACCAAAACCTGATGGCAAACTGACAAACCACAAATGGCATGTTTTTCTTCTCATAAACAAGGGGCCCTTTGCTATAAAATTTTAAACCGATGGATGGTCCCATCCTCAAGCAGATAGGTTTAGGTGTAACCACAAAGATTTCTCATTTAAGCAGTGCATCCAAATGGATCAACCATTTTGCGAGAACAGAAAACTGAGTTATACGAACTGAGTTGCTAAAGGCCACAGAATAATAAAGACATCTTGATAAGTCTACCCAAAGCAGTGTTAATATGGGTTAGTATTCACTGCACTCAATGTTGTAGTGTTCAGTGACGATACTAATATGCGTTATAGTCATGTCAAACACATTCTATTTTTGGTAAAGCTGTTAATTCCCCCTTAAATTGTGTGACATATGGAGCTTCTGGGTGAAGGCAATGTAAGAGTGTGGGGACATAGCTCCCACAGTAAACAAATAGGTTGGGCTACAGATGGGATTCTATAACCTGTAAACATTAGTGGTGTTGCCGATTGATTGGCCAGCGATCATAATCAACCAATTTTTATCTAAAAGTATGTAATCAATGATCACTGATCAGTTTTTTAACAATCACAGCAACCAATCATCTATATCTCTTACTTTTGCAATGTGTGGAGCCCCTGCCTGAAGCATATCTCCCTTTTTTCTTCTCATTGTGCTAACACAGCATAAAATCTTTGCCATGTGGAACTTTTGTGCTTGTTTTTGTCTGTGACCACCTCCATTATTGGGGGTTGTTATTCATGCGTACTCACAGCTGAACATATCTGTGCAAAGCTCCCTCTTTTGAGCACACAAGTGATTGATCGGGAAAAATCTTAGGATTAAATTGGTTGAAATATGTGAAAGTCCAAGCAGTATTTGTTACACAGTGGATGTGCCCAGGTGATAGCTGACAGGAACACACTGTTCTTGTGCAAGGAAGAGCAGAAAATGGCAATGGCTTAATTGTTTCTGTTTTACTTGGGCTTTTTTTTTCTGCCAACCATCCTACTCTCTTTTGGTTGAAATTGTCGAGTCTCTCTCCCTGAGGGGCTAACACCTCACCATTTCCGAGATGAAGCAGATGGCTTACTCCTCTCCTGCTTTTGTTTTGGTTTTATAATCCAGTTGAGTGCAATTATGCCGCCTGATCCACGCACAAGACCCCAGGATGCAGGAATAAATGTGAGGGTTGGGACTAAAGCAGGCATTTTCTTTAGAACTACAGCTTCCTCCGTTTCACACAAATATATGTTGGGCCATGTGGAGATACATGTCTTTTTTCATGTTTGTCATTTTGACAGATACCGATGCCTAAAAGTCTGTATGTTGTTGAAGTTCTTGTAAAAGTTATGGAAGACTATAAAATGTTGAGATACCTCTTGAATCATATGTTAAAGGCCTATTCTGCAAGAAACAACATTCCCACGTCTTACTTTAGGCTTTTTCCATAGAGCTATGGCTATAGATATGGGGAGTTTTTCAGAACCGGCTATTATCTACCAATATGTTGTGTAAGTAAGTTGGACATTTTCAGCTAGTTTTCACCAGCCTTCAGAAACAACCAATTTAAAGTTTAACCATTATAAAATAATTGCTTCTTGCTCTTCATTTTAGGCGACTATTGCTTGTAGAAAAAGTGTTGGCAGTTTGAACAAAGAAAGAGCCCATTAATATTATTGCAAGGCAACCATGTTTCTGTACCTAAATGCATCATTCTGATATGCAGTCAAAGAGTGGTTGCCTTTCCATAGTATTTAGAAATACAGCATTACATGCACAAAAACAGGACATCAAAGGCAACTACTACAAAGCAAGCCTGGCTAAGAAAGCGCTCGGGAGTTTGGCTCAACTTTTCAAAATGCAATGTAGATTACGCTCGCTGCAACATTTATGGCGCAATGCACTACAGCGGCAGCAGAAATGCCTCCTCCACTTTGGGCAGGAACTCTCCTCCACACTAAAGGGGACAAGCCACCCTTTTCTGGATGAAAAGGGTGGCTTGAAGAACAATGGAGGAGCAGATCCTCATCCTTTGCAGATCCTCATCCTTTGCACTCTTCTCCGAACTACCATGCTGTAGGTCTTGGCATGAGTGAGCCAGCAGAACCGTATTATCGGCAAAAGGCAGGGCCAAAATCCGCTGGTCACCCAGAGTCATTGGCTGTGCCTAGAAAATCTCATCCCTAATGGTTTTAAACATGGGTGGTGACAAAAGGACAGCCCTGCTGGAGTCAAACATGCATGGGAATACACCTTACTAATGC